AGGGGAGAGAGGCAACGAAGGTGGCGAACACTTGGATTGCAGAGTGCGGCGCTGTCAGGCACACCTGGAGGTTCAGCAGCGGGCTCCCGTGTCCCTAAACCCTGCAGGACCTTGAGCAGGGTGCTGCTTCTTGGGGCCGAGTGAAAACGGGGCTCCCTCCGGGCACCCTCAGGATGACTGCGGGGGTAGGGAAGCGTTTGTGAGGGGATGGGTGGGGCAGCCCTGACCCTCCCCGCATTCCCCTTCAGATGTGTGGTCAGCTGGCTGCGTACTGGCCGAGCTTCTCCTGGGCCAGCCCATCTTCCCCGGGGACAGTGGGGTAGACCAGCTGGTGGAGATCATCAAGGTGAGGGCACGGCGGGGTGGGCAGGGCTGGGGCCGAGGGATAGGGGCTTTGGCTCAGACCTGTCCCTTCTCCAGGTGCTGGGAACACCAACCCGGGAACAGATCCGAGAGATGAACCCCAACTACACGGAGTTCAAGTTTCCCCAGATTAAAGCTCACCCCTGGACAAAGGTGGGACGGGGCTAGGGGCTCAGGCAGCATGGCCGAGGTCCCCTTTGGAGGCCAGCTGGTCTGGGGACCTGGCTATAGAGTCAGGGCTTGGGAATGGGGCCGTAACTCAGCAGATTTCAAAGTTTATGGCATCTCCCATCCTCTGGAAGTTGAGGGTCCACGGTAAGTCTGAGTGCCATTTCTCTGCTGGGGAAACAGGCTCCCTGCAGGGCCTGTACCACGATGGGACCCGCGCGAGCTGCTCACCCCAAAGAACGTGGTTTCCCCTCAGTGGTTGTGCCTCGTATGGGAAGTGGGGGTGCGGGAGTCCATAGTACCTGGGCGGCTCACCCTCCTGACCACCCCCTAAGGTGTTCAAATCTCGAACGCCGCCGGAGGCCATCGCGCTCTGCTCGAGCCTGCTGGAGTACACACCGTCCTCAAGGCTCTCCCCTCTGGAAGCCTGCGCCCACAGCTTCTTTGATGAACTGCGATGTCACGGAACCCAGCTCCCCAACAACCGCCCGCTTCCCCCGCTCTTCAATTTCAGTCCTGGAGGTGAGGGCACAGCTTGGGAGGCAGGGAGCCGGAAGGGCAGGCAAAGATTGTGGAGGAGGGCTTGGTGTTAGAGATAGGAGCGGGATGCTGAGGGAGGGGCGCTCGGGAGATGCCCCCAGTACAGGAGCCCCGAAGCTGCTTTACCTGTGCTCTGCGGTCACCTGTGCTGGGCCCCTTCTGGTTTGTCATTTAAAGCATTCAGGAGCTACACGTGTCAGCCGGCCTTGCCAAGAGCTGGGTCGCTACCTGGTGCCCCTTTCTAACCCCGACCCCGTCTCCCAACACCCCGCCTGCTGACCGGGCATGTCCAATCCTGTCTCTAGAACTCTCCATCCAACCATCTCTCAACGCCATTCTCATCCCTCCTCACTTGAGGTCCCCAGCGGGCACTGCCTCCCTCACGCCATCCTCACAAGGTAAGTTGAGGGCCCTCTGCTTCTCAGCCTGGGAGGCCAGCCTGTGCCTACAGCCCCCGAGTTCCCCGCACGGGTGTGGAAGTTGTTGACATCTGATAGCGTACGTGTGAACAGCCACCTTTATCGGGCCTGACTGTCTATATTTGTGTTTAAGTGCCAACTGGAAAACCAAAGACCTATGTTTGGCATGCACAAACAAACAAAACGTTAAATTTGTTGCCCGTATTTAAAAATTGAGGCCATTGCGTGTTACAAATCCAGATTTCCTATGTCTCTTGGGGAAGAAAATCTGACTGGGCAGCATTGGGCCTGCCTTTCCTCAGGGCAGTGCTGTGAGTTGGGGCCAAGTTCCAGCCGCCCTCTTTTCGGTGGGGCCCGGCTGTCGGGTGAGTCACTCAGCGACCAGCCTGCCCCTTTGGTGTTCGAGTACGCAGCGCTGGACCTAGAGTGGCGGCTGTCCGTTTCTGATGTGGCATCCCCCACCGGGTTCCTGCTCTTGGGGGAGGTCTGAGAGGCAAAGGGTAACTGTCTGCTTTTTCCTCCCCCTCAGCTTTAAGTGAGGCTCAGACCGGCTCGGACTGGCAGTCACCCGACGCCACAGCTCCCCTCACTAACTCTTCCTGAGGGCTCCACCAACTACTCTTCCATCTGGGAGCCCCCAGTGGGGCTGGGAAGGGGGACCATAGCCCATCAAGCTCCTGACCTGGCTGGGCCCCTAGACTAGAGGGCAGAGGTAAATGAGTCCCTGTCCCTACCTCCAGTCCCTCCCTCACCAGCCTCACCCTGTGGTGGGCTTTTTAAGAGGATTTTAACTGGTTGTGGGGAGGGAAGAGAAGGAAGGACAGGGGGTTGGAGGCATGAGGACCTCCTACCCCCTCGGCCCCCTCCCCTCCTCCCGGGCCTACACTCCTCCAACCCCTCTCCCTTCCTGTGTCCCTTGTAAATAGAACCAGACCAGCCCGTCTACTCTTCCCTTCCCTGCCCGCCCCCCCGGGTGTAAATAGATTGTTATAATTTTTTTCTTAAAGAAAACGTCGATTCACACCGTCCAACCTGGCCCGTCCCCCTTCTACAACTGTGTCCCCCCTCCTGTCCTCTGCCCCTAAGGTCTCCTCCCTCCTCTCCCCACCCTGGAGGGCTGAGGGGGTGGGGGTGGGGGAGCTCCCGATGTCTTAGTTTCCACAGTAAGGTTTGCCTGTGTACAGACCTCCGTTCAATAAATTATTGGCATGAAAACCTGCTTCCTGTTTGGCTGCCTTGTTTCAGTGGAGGTGAGGGAGGTTGCCCTGAGGGGCTGTGCTGGGACAGGACCTCTCAGGCAGGGGCACCGCTGAGAGTGAAGCCGGGCTGGGCTGCCAGAGGCCTGGGTCCTGGCCCTGGCTCACGTGCCCAGCCCCCCCGGGCCTCCGCTCTCCTTCACACATGTGATGAACAGAGTCTGGCTTCTCCGCTGCAGAGGCCTCAGGGGAGCCGGCCTCATGGACCCCGCCACTGTCCTCTTCTGCCTCAGGAGGGAGGCAGGCACTGTCCTCCCCAGGTGACAGTTGAGAACTGGGGATCAGGGATCAAGGCCACAGACAGAAAGTGGCAGAGTCAAGACCTGAACAGAGGGCTCTGTGTGTCCCACAGCCCGAGCTACCTGCTGCTTCACGGGACACCGGATGACACGTAGTCACTCAGGCCAAAACAGCCTGGATGTAGACTCTTAGTGGGCACGGACGTGGGCAGCGAAGCGGTCCCTAAACCCTAACAGATGTCCAAGCTTTCATTTCTGTTTCAAACAGGGCACGTACCTGGCCCCTATCTAGGGATGCTGAGAAGTGACAAGCCTGGGAAGGTTGGTGCAGAGAACTTGGCTTCTTCCCTTGCTTCAAAAACATGCTGGGGCCAGATGGTGGGGCCACGGGCAGAGGGAAATGGCATCTCCTACATGTGGTGCCAATGGTATGTGAGGGCAGGAGGCCCCAGAAGTGGAAGGAGGCCTGGGGAGGAGCAAATGATATGTCCTCCATTGGACTTCAATTGTGAAGAAAAAGGGAATGAGTTTGTTGTTTCAAGTAAGCTCTACGTCCATTGCGGGGGGGGGGGGGGGGGGGGGGGGGGGGGCGGGCCGGGGAGGGCGGCGCACTTGGCTTGAACTCACGACCCCCGAGATCAAGAGTTCCATGCTCTACTGACCGAGCCAGCCAGGGGCCCCAAAAGGGGGAATTCTGAACATGTCCCAAGAGTTCAGGGCCTGTTCCTGTGGCATCTGGACTCTCCAGTCTGCTTAGGCCAGCCCCAGGGGTATCTGTATACTGCCCAGAACAATCCCTCGCCTTCCCTGCTTAATACCCTCTGGATGCCACCTTGTAAGATGAATACGTAGAGCAAGGAGACCAGAGACGGGAGCAGGGTTGGTCCCCCTGCCTCCCTTGCTGCTCACAACTGTTCAGCCACGAGGTCGCTGAGGTGGTCGCTCACCCTCCCTCCCACTCCTGTGGCTTCTGCCCTAGTCTGGTCCCATCCTTCCCCTCCTAGACCATCTCCGGCCTCCCCCTGGCCCCACCTTCATGCCAGGAAGCCCTAAGCCCCACTTTAGACCCTCTCTTCCCCCTATCCCCCGCTGCCCCAACCTCTGGGGCAGGCTCTCCCTGCCTTCCCACGTCTGGGCCTGCCTCCCTCCCAGACAACTCTCAGCCATAGCCTCCCCTGCCTGAACACCTTGGTCTGTGGAGGCTTGGCGGGAGCTTGCCCCAGGGACCTGCCATAAATCATCTGCTTCTGTTTGGAGAAGGTAGGACTGCCACCTTAGGTAACCTTTGAAAAGGCTGGGGATCCCTTCCTGTTCCTAAGACCTTTGATCTTTCGAGGGCCCCAACAAACCCCAACTGCTCTGTGACACCAGCTCACTTTTCTTCCAGCCGTAGCAAATCCTCCTCTGGACGCTGCCCCCCTCCCCCCAGTCTCAGGTCACACTCGCTCAACAGTACTGCTTAGAGACATGGGCTCAACGGACCCCCTGGATTCAAATCTCCGTGACACCGCTGCCTAATGTGAGACCTTGGGTGAGTCTCTGTCCCTGGTTTCTCATCCGTACAACAGGGCTAACACTGAGATCGCTTCACAGGCCTGCTGGGTCACAATCCACGTACAGTGCTAACCGCGTGCCTGCCACGGCTAGGCAGCCGCGTTCGCGGTTACTGTAGCTGTGAATAACTGGACCGTCTCCAAGCCGACCAAGAACTCACCCTCCTCTGCGGTGCTGTCTCTGCCTATGTTCTCCTCCTCTGTCGCTAGCAGATTCCTAGTTTTTCCTCAAGGACTACCTCCTTTGGGGCGGGGGCAGGGGAGAGGAGGGGTTGTTCCCTGCTCTGGGATCCCACTGTCCCTGCACATCCCCATCACAGCCCTGAGGATCCCGGGGCTGAGATCTGCCTGCTGCCCAGGGGCAGGGCAGAGGCCTGACTCCTCTCCAGCCCCCAGCATCACCCAGCATGTGTGAGGGAGGCCTGAGGACTCCCAGGCTGAATGAATCAACAAGACACACTCAAGAGAGCAAGGCCATCTGTACTTGGGTGTTCCTCCTACCCCACCGTGTGCCTCCTGGGGCAGCGCCTGGCTCTGAGTCATTCCTGGGGCTCTGGCATCACTCAGCGCGCAGCGGAGTACCTGGGTACCTATAGAGTTCCTTCGACGTTGTCAGAAGGGAGCTTAAGGAAGCCCAGAGAACTCAAGTACCTTTCTCTACCAGGCAGAGCCAAGTCCCGGGTGCCCCGGGGTCCAGGGGAGGGGAGGGCTTGGGGACGAGCAAGAGCCTGAAGAGGTATACGACAGTGCCCAGCACCGATCTGGCACGTGGTCGGGGTTGCTGGGCACCAGGGTGATGGATGCAGAGCCAAGAGTCTTGGCAAGCCCTGTTCTGCAACGCAGTGGGGTGACCTGGGACGGATCACATCAGGCCTCAGAGCTTCAGTTTCCCCATAGGCAGAGAAAAGTGGCAAGAGACACCTGGACAGGGCTCTTGTGAGGAGTCCGTGGGTAAGAGGCCAGGGTGGATCCTGGCACCCGGTGGGTGCCAGAGCGGCTTGCGGGGGTGGGGGTGGGGCTCCCCTTGCTCCCCAGAGGGGCCCACAACGGCTGTCGCAACCCAACTCCTTTACTGCCGCTCCTCAGCTGTGTCACACGAAGGCCGTGTCCAACTGCAGGAGCCCGCCTGCCTCACTGGCCCCCAGTGCCGCCTGGCACAGCTGCAGCGTGTCCTCAAGTGCCAGCGGCTGGGACGTCTCGATGATGGCGATTGTTTCCCCGAGCTCGGTGCACATGATAGTCTGCTGAGGCTCGGGGGGCGGCGGCGGCGGCGGGGCAGGGGGTGGGGATCGTGGTGGCGGTGGCGGTGGCGGTGGCGGGGGCCCGGGACGGGCGCGGGCGTGGACGCGCTGGTGCAGCCGCAGGCCGGCCAGGGCGTGGAACCAGCGGCCGCAGGTCCCGCAGTAGTAGGGGCTCTTGTTGTACAGGCCGGTGATGGGCAGGCGGGGCGCGCGGGCGAAGGCCACAGGCCGCAGGTGCAGCCTCCGGTGCTGCTGCAGGTTGGAGCTCTGCGTGAAGCGCTTGCCACAGTCCAGGCACTGGTAGGGCCGCACGCCCGTGTGGGTCAGCTGGTGGCGGCTGAGGTTGGCCAGGGAAGCGAAGGTCTTGCCACACGAGTGGCACTGGAAGGGCCTCTCGCCCGTGTGCGTCCTCAGGTGGTTGCGCACGTGGACCAGCTTCTTGAAGCCCTTGCCGCAGACGCCGCAGCGGTGCCGCCGCTCGGGGGGCCCGTGGACGGCGCGCCGGTGCCGCGAGAGCCGGGAGGCCGAGGCGAAGGACTTGGAGCACTGTGGGCAGGGCAGCTGGGCGGGCGGGGCGGGCGGCGGCGGCGGCGGCGGGGGCGTGGGCTCGGCAGGCACCGGGGAGGCCGCCGCCGAGGGGGGCGCCCCGCTCTTGCCGGCGTGTGTGCGCCGGTGGTAGAGAAACTTGGTCATGTTGCTGAATGTCTTGCCGCAGCGGCAGCGATGCAGCGGGTTGGCGGTGTGAGCCCGCCGGTGGGCCACCAACGTGAGCTCCGTGCCGAAGCCGCGGCCGCAGTCCACGCAGAGGTAGCGCGCCTCGCCGCGGTGCAGCCGCAGGTGCTGCTCCAGGGAAGCGGCTTTCTTGAAGACCTTGGAGCAGGTGGTACACTCGTGCGTACCCCCGACGTGGGCCCGCCCGTGCGCCAGCAGCCGGTTGGCTGAGCTGAAGCTGCGCTGGCACTGGCTGCAGTGGAAGGGGTGGGCTGCCGATGCCGGGCCGCGGGAGGCCCGCCGGTGTCGCCGGCGCGCCTCCGCGGCCGTCCAGGGTTGGGGACAATCCGCACAGCCTTGGGCCCGGGCGGCTGTGGACCTGTCGCCTCCCGCAGCATCCTCACCGACCTCTGCCGCCACCTCCTCTTCCTCCTCTGTGTCTTCCTCTGTGTCTTCCTCCTCCTCCTCTTCCTCCTCCTCCTCTAGCCCATTGCGCTCTTCTTTCTCCAGGGAGTCAAAGTGGGTGCCCTGATGCTCCAAGAACTCCTCGGGAGTGGCACAGAGGGTAGAGCACTCGGGACACTCGTAGGGCTCCATCTTAACTTCGGGTGGAGTGGGGGGTGGAGGGGGCGGCGCCGGCGGGGGCAGCGGGGGTGGCCCTGGCGGCTCGGTGGCTGCAGCAGAAAGGTGCCGGGCCTTGCGATGAGCCACCCACAGCTCAGGCGAGGGGAAGAGCTCCTGGCAGTCCCCGCACTGGTACTGGATCTGGCTTGCAGACTCCCGGAGGTGGGCATCCTGGTGGGCCAGGAGCTCGCTGGGGGACAGGATGAGCTGGTTGCACTCCCCACACTGGAAAGGCCCTTCCTCAGGCCCTGCCATGAGCTCTGGCTCCAGGCCAGGATCCTGGGCGGCCAGTGCCTCATCCTCGGTGATAGTGGGCACATGCTGTTCCTGGTGCGAGAGGACTTCCTCCAGCGTGTTGTAGAGGCTGCCACACTCAGAGCACATGAACTGGTGATGCTGGAAGAAAAGGGATGAGGCCAGCGCCTCCCCAGGTGTCATCTCGGTCACCTCTGTTGACATCTCCCCGAACATCGGTGTTGACATCTCCACCGCCCCTGGCGACATCTGTGCGGGCAGCTCAGCCACCTCAGCCGCCACCTCTGCCATGGTGGGGGGGGGGCGGTGCCTGGAGAAAGAAGGGGGAGCTGGTGAGACATCAGGAACCCAGGGGCGCGGTGGCGGGGTGGGGGGCGGCTCAGGAGCTTCCCCGCTCGTCCCCTCACTCACCAGCCTCTATCAATCAGCAAGCCTGGATCAAGTGCTGGTGCCTCAGTTTTCAATGAACATGTGACTCCGAAGCGGATGCATGCCCCATGGTGCCAGACATCTGTAAGACAGCGACATCCCCCTTCCGTCTGGCCCCCGATGCTACCGTCCCTCCTTACCCAGAGGTCCACCCGCACCCTTTCTAAGAACACATGTCTCTTTACGCCTCTTGACCTTTGCCTGGATGGTTTCCTCACTGGGCACCACCTTTCCTCCTACTATATGGACACATACAGAGCAGCAAAGGGTTCAAGAGCACAGGCTTCTGGACCAGACTGCCCTTGGCTTGAATCTGAGCACCAGCACGTTATTAACTTCCTCTCTCTGACACTGTTTTGTCACCCGTGAAAGGGAGTAAAAGTAGTGCTGACCACGAAGGCCCCGGTGCCCGAGAAAGGTCAGACAGAACCATGACTTGTGGTTCTCCAGAAATGTTGTTCCCGAGCCCGAAGTCTTTCCTGTTGCTATTCCTTCTGCCGAGAAAGTTCTCTCCTTTTCTGGTCTAGCAAAACTGTACCCAGCATTTCCTTTGTGAAGCCTTTTCTGACAACATCTCTACATCCTCAGGGGGATGTCCACTCCTGCCTCCTTGGGGTTCCTATGGTAATCTGTGCCACCTCTGGCAAAGCCAATATCACGAGCCTGGGATGCAGTCTGTGCTCCTCTTCAGACTGAGCATGCAGGCATGGCAGGCCTGATTCACTGTAGGTGCTGATGTCACCAACAAAACCACGGACCTGGGACGGGGATCTTAAAACTTCTGAACTTCCCTCTACATGCCCCCATCTCCCTTTCTACATGTGTGGGCTCAACACAACCCAGGCCTCTGAGCCACTTGAGCAAATGACTGCACCCCTTACAGCCTAGTCTCTGAATCCAACTTCCACTGTCTCCATCTCTTCTTTAACTCATCTGTTAGTGCCAGAGGGCAGGTGGAACTCAGCTTACATCCAGGCAGGCAAAGTTGCTCATATTAAGCTCCCAGAGAGCAGGGAAGTTAGTTTCTTCATCACTGATATATTTCTAGCACCAAGAACAATGATTAGCCCACAACAGGTACTCAGTAGATATGCTGTGAATGAAAAATGCTCCCTCCAGGAAGTGAGGCCATGAGAGTCTAACTCTCCCTGTGCCCATTCCATTTCTCCCACCAGACCAACTTTCCCCATGGACAGTGAACTCCCACAATAACACAGCCCAGCACATGACTCTGTTTTCATGATGCCCGATACATGCTCCCTGAATAAATGATTTACTAAAAGCCCAGGACTTACCTTTTCCTAACTACCTATTCCTACTCCCTCACTAATATTTGAATTGCCATGGCCCTGCACACAACAGCCACCCAATAAAGGATCTTCCTGGAAGGAGTCAGCCCGGATCCCCAGAGTTTAGTTTTTCCTTGTTTACAGCCGCACTCCAAACAGAACTCCCATGGGGCGAGGCCCAAGGCCTGGTGTAAGGCTTACACACAAAGTAGGCACCCAGTATATGTCCCTCTGGAAGGTGACCCAGGCAATCTAAAATTTGGACTTTTTGTCTACATTCCTCCTTTCCCAATTGTGGGATTGTGTACCATTGGTGGGGAGGAGATAGGGGCTTTTTACACGGTAGACCAATAAATCCTTCCAGGAAAGAACCCACCAGGGGCCTGGAAGTTCAACTTTTCCGCTACACGTCCCTTTTCACCGACCAGACTTAGCAACTCCGCTGCATTAGAGCACCCTGCAAGGGGTGGGGGCGGCGGGCTCCAGGGTAGAGTCCTGCACGCCGCAGGAGTGCAATCAATGCTCTAGGGCACAGAGGAAGGAGCGCTGTCCTCCCACTCCACGCCGCTCCCGCCCTAGCGCAGGCCCCAGGGCTCTTCGTCCCCCGATGTCCCCTTCGTTCTCCCTCCGCCCTCTCCCTACGCCCAGCGCTCTCTTCCCCCGCCCGCCCCGCGGCGCCCTCACCCGTCTCTCTCGCCTCCTGCAGCCCCCGCCGCTCTTGACACAGACCCTCTCTGCTCCAGGCGTGCGGGACCCCTCACTATCCACGCCTCCCATTGGGCGTTGCCCTTACCCGTGGCAGCCAATCAGAGCCGTCAGCGAAGGGCACGCGCCCTTGCGCCTGCGTGTTGACGCTCAGGCGGGGCTCGGCGAGTTTCTCCACGCACACAACTGTTCCCTGTGGGCGGAGCTTGGGGGTGCGGCTCAGGCAAGCGCCTGCGCAGTTCTTCTGGGCTGCCCTGCCAAACATGAGTTAAGTGGTGAGAAGTGGGCATCGTTGGAAGGCGAGGAGTGAACTGGGTGGCGGGAGACCTTGACGGAGGTGTTATTTTGTAGCTGAAAAGGCTGAGCATCTCTGAGAGAATAGCTTTGGAGCCAGACACACTTGGGGTACTTCTCTCAGGGCCTTTTACTCCTGTGTAAAATGGGCTTGAATCACATCCATCTCGAAGGCTGTTGAGGGGATTGAATGAAATCAGACACGTAAAAGCGCTCAGCACTGATACACTGTGGATGCTCACTATAAACCATCTAACATGGACGTAGTCCTTCCCAGTTTGTAAAATTGCTTTCCCTTCCCTCCCACTCTTCACTTGATTTAACGGTAATCACGTATCGGGCGCCTACTGTGTGTCTGGCCCAGGAGTAGGTCTCAATAGGTGACAATTGACATTAGAGAGAGGGAGTCTTCCAAGGTCACTGCTGCAGTCCAAGCAGAGCCAGTGCTGAGGCAGAGCCAGTGCTGAGGCAGTGCCAAGCAGGACCTAGGTCCCCCCCCCCCTTTCAAGGGGAGATAATTCAAGGGTGGGAACCACTCCGGGAAGACTTGTTTCAAGGTACGTGCGAGCCCTGACCTTGAGTCACCTAAGTGTGTGTGTTGGGGGGGGTGGCCACCATGCCCAAGGCTCCGCCTCAGGGGAGCTGCTCAGATATGCAGCCTGGACTCCAGCTCTCTTGATAGGGACCTGCCCTCGCAAGAGTGAAACTTGTAGGTGCAGGTTAGAGAGGGGGTATTGGGAGGCTCCTTGACTTTGGAGGGCAGAGATTGGAAAGGGTTGTTGGGTGGGTGGGGGGCATTTGAGACAGGAAGAGGCTGTCTGTAATAGGAGACTGTGATGGATGCCATCAGGTAGTGAACAGTCAGGATGGAGGGGCCTATTGCAATCGGGAAGGAGGTATTGGTTCCTAACATGAGATGGGGGAGCTTCCTGGTCTTGATCAGGGGAAGGAACTTAGAGATGGGGCTTCTGTTGGGTGAAAGGAGATTCCAGTTGGGGTCATGAGATGGCACGGTTGTGACGTAGGTTCCTGGTTGCCATGAGAAGTAAGGGGCAGGCTGACGGAGGAGCGTCCAAGTCCCGATCATAAGGGGTCTGGGAGCTATTTGAAGCCAGGACGGTTGCTATTGTGGTCCTTTGCCTTGGGCAGCTGGGAGCAGTGGTAATGTGGGCGTCTAAATCATGTCTAGGATGGGGCTGTAGTCCATGAGATGAGTATTTCCAACAGGGCTTGACGTGCGGCAACAAGGATCCAGCGGCTTAAGTCACGGGCGGACAGAAGCAACCCTGCATGCCACCAGGTAACATCCAACTCAGACGCGGAAATCACTCTCGCTTTGCGCAGGCGCAGCACTGGCGGGCAAGACGCTACGGTTGGGGGCGGGCCCGGAGGGGTGGGGCTTGGAAGCTTCACTCTGCGCTTGCGCCTAAGGGGCGTGGCGGTCGCACCTGCGCGAGTTGGGGGAAGGAGGAGGGGCGAGGTGACGCAGGCGTAATAATAGAGAAGGTGCCAGAAAGATCCAAAACAAGTGGCTGCGGCCGTCGCCCAGGAGTCGTCAGACGCCGGAATCCGGTGAGGATCCAGAGAGGCCTGAGGGCGGCTGGTGGCGGGTAGACGGAACCACTTGGGTGTTGGGGGGAGGGCGGTACCGCCCTAACAGGGCGAGGGGGTCGGGATCGGACAGCACCACCTGTGTGGGGCGACGGGCTGCTTTGGTCGGTTCCACTTGTGGGGGGCAGAGGGTCACTTTCGGACGCTACCATTTGGGTGGAGCCGTGGCGCTGATCGGACAGTACCAGTGGACGGAGCCAAGGGGCACGTCCGGTCAGTGCTGCCCAGAGTCAAAGGGCAGTTGGCAGGGTTCCCCGGGACGGGCCCCCACGCTGGTTCGGACCGAATCACTTGGTCGGGTCCGGAGGCTGGTTCGGGGCATACCACCTGGGGAGGGGCGTTCGGGCTGGGTCGGCCCGACTCTTGGGAGGACGAACGGGGTCTAGCGTCTCGATCTGTTACTAGGGGACCTCGGGCGGTACCATTCCTTTTTCAGGGAAGGGGAGAGGCAGAGAAGCCTGGGGTGCGAAGGTGGCCCTGCCCGGCAGGACGGGGCGGGGGAGACGCACCGGCGGGGGCGGGGTCCGGGTCCCCGCGTCGCTGACCATTGCCCCCTCTCCGCTGTGTGGGTTCTAGGCCCTGGTTCAGAGCTTGTGCCGCCCCCTCCCTCCCCTGGGTATGGCGCTGTCCGGGTTGACCCCGGCCCCGAGCTGGGAGGAGGATGAATGCCTGGACTACTACGGGATGCTGTCGCTTCACCGTATGTTCGAGGTGGTGGGCGGGCAGCTGACCGAGTGCGAGCTGGAGCTGCTGGCCTTCCTGCTCGACGAGGCCCCCGGCGCGGCCGGCGGTCTGGCTCGCGCGCGAAGCGGCCTGGAGCTGCTGCTGGAGCTGGAGCGCCGCGGGCAGTGCGACGAGAGCAACCTTCGGCTGCTGGGGCAACTCCTGCGCGTGCTGGCACGCCACGACCTGCTGCCGCACCTGGCGCGCAAGAGGCGCCGGCCAGGTATGGTTGAATGGGAGGGTGACAGACTTCCGGTGGGGACGGGGCCTTGTCCTGGCTGGGCCTCCATGGTGGCCTGATACAGACAGCACCGTATCAGCCTGTGTCCCAACTCGCTCCTCCCCTTCTCTCAGTATCAATGAGGAACACAACAGGGAGGAGGCATGGCTTTGGGAGAGGTGAGCTTGTGGAATTTGGCCACATCAGTGGTGTTTGTGGCCACTGTTTATGGAGGGCTTATTTCATGCGAGGCACAGCGGTAAGCCCTTCGTGTGAACTGTCGCCTTATATCCTCCCAGTAATCCCGTGAGGAAGTCCTGTTAGTGTTCTCATCTTACAGGGAAAAGAACAGGGTTAAGAGAAGTTAAGCAGCTTGTCCACATGTAAGAACTGAATCTTGCGTGTTGCGCACAGGAGATACAAGGTGTTGGGATTGACAGAGTGTTTGTTCATGAAGCTTATGTTTAGTGGGGAGGACGTAGCCATTGGGGCAGATAGCTTATTTTTGTATAGGGTTATAGAAAGACTAAAGCAAAGTTAAGAGAATACAGAGAGTAGGGAGCGCTTCATAGTGAAGGAACCCCCCCCCCATTGGATAACCAGTCAAAACCTTTCTGAAAAAGCCACGTTTAAACGGAGGTTCTACTCCTGCTGTGCATAGATCTCAGCGGAGAAAATGCCAGGCAGAGGGAAAGACAAGCTTTTCGAGCCCTGAGTCAGTAATGAGTTTGGTATCATCAGAGACCAGTGTGGCAGGAGCAGGGGAGACTGACAAAGCAAGAGCAGAGAGGGAGGTAAGAAGCCACTTCACACAGGGGCTTGCAGATGACCCAGGTAGAAGGTTTGGCTCCGAGCTGATGCCCCTAGTCCTGTGAGGGAAGTACTCCTGGGGGAGCAGTTCTGAGGTGAGGAACCCTGGGGTTTAAGGGACAGGAGTCCTGTGCGTGCCTAGGCCTCGAGCTGTTGAGGCCTTGGCTGGGTCATTAGTGGTGCAGTGGCTGGTTTCGGAGGGGGATTCCGAACTTCCCTTGCCCAGAGGAAGCCCTTGGCAATTGGATAACCAGGAGAGGGGCATCACTAGAGAAGAACCAGCCGTGTTTTTGGAAGAATATACGTGGAGGTTAGGCTATGGAAGGGAGGTTTGGGGGAGCCTGCTTACCCCTTGGGGGCTCAGGGAGCGTTGGGGGCAGTTCGAGGCGGCCGGGGGTGGGGGGTGGGCAACATTGCAGGGATCCTGACCACGACTCGGCTTACAGACTCCAACCCTGACAGTTGGAGCTGCTGTAGACAGGGTTTGGACAGCCCCAGGAGGTCACAAGTCCCTCTCTCTCTGTAGGCATACAACAACCATTGGGCAGGAAGCGTTTGAGAGAGAGCAGCTATCTGGGCTCTGGGCTCTGGGCTCTGGGGAACTCGGGCACCTAGTGGGGCCGGAGTCCATCTCCAGCTGGGAATTGAGGCTGGGCTGGGGAGGGGCTGGAGGCTGGGAATACTTCTTTCCGTTTTTCTCCTTCTGAAGTGTCTCCGGAACGCTACAACTACGGCACCTCCAGCTCTTCTTCCAAAAGGACTGAAGGTAGTCGCCGCCGCCGCCGGCAGTCAGGCAGTACTTCAGACACGCAGCAGGGTCAGTGGGAGACAGGTGAGCCTCGCTGCGTGGGCGTGATGGCAGCGTCCCTTTCTTCCTCCTGAGCCCTGATGAACCCTCTCCATCCCAGCCCATCAAGGAAGGGGCCTGAGGGGTTATTCTGTGTCCACATTCCTTTATGTGTGGTGTTTATTCTACAAAAGCATGTGTCCGGAAGCAACGAATGGAATTGTTTGTGGTGGTTTTATAGGGCATCTGAATGACATCACACGGTGGGTAGTCTTCACGTGGCTGGCTTTGCTGGACACATTTCTGAGATTTATTCACGTCAGGTACCTTTAATTTGTTTCTTTTAATTGCCCTGCCAGTTCATTTAGGCTGTTTTCTTTTCCCTAGTTCCTAAATTATTCAAACATAATTTCAAACATACAGAGCAGTTGAAAGATAAGTGCAGTGAGCATGCTCCTATTTTCCACCTTGATTCAGTAATTTTAACATTTTGCCACTTTAGCTTTACTGTGTATGTACTTAACAATGGATTTTTGGTTGTTACTTGTGTGTGTATATGTAACAATGGATTTTCCGTTGAACTCTTTGAAAGTAAGTTACACCCATCAGGATACTTTAT